TTGTATTTCACGTACACGATTAGCAACAAAGGGTTTCCATTTATCAGCGGTACCCCTTTGATCCAGTGAAGAACGATTTTAGAGTCACTAAAACAAAATACATTATCTTCTTAGGATATTAAACAATTTCCTTAAATATTTAACTATTCTTGCGGCAATAATGGCTCCCATAAGTTCTAAACGAGGCAAGGTTAATTTTTTAAGTGGGGATACACTGCTCTTTGAAAGAACAAAAGACGTTACAGCAAGAATCAGGATCACGAAAATATGCAACAGCTCCATATCCCTTGAGGGCTAATTACTCTCTTCTTTGGCTCGTCACAAAAGACAAAAAGCTCTATTTTATCGAAATTTACACATTCATCATTTAATATGTATTTTTAGGAATACAACAAGTTGAGAATAACTTCAATTTCAAAGTACCAAGTTTTAAATTTTTCACTCAAATAACTGGGCAAAATTGTGTCCCAATCAATACCCAATTCCCATATTCTTGTAATAAGAATTTTATTCTGATAACAAAGGGTGCAATGAATCCAACTGGGTCATAAATTTTTGCCACAATCTGTAATACCTTTCGCTTTGTAACGTGTTTCCAGTCAAACTGGTTGTAAAAGTTCTTGTACATCTAATTTCAATGTATCCTCATCCAAAATCCCAAATTATTCCCAGCACTTTTAACGTTTTCTTATCCAAATTATCTTCCTTATTAATTAAACCAATATCTTGCCAATGATTTTTTAAAGATACGGAATTTGATTCAAATTTTCTTAAGTTCATACCAGCGTCTTGAAGAATTTTAACTGCATCAGTTGATAATGAAAAAACTTCTTCAACGGAGTCTGCTCCATGGATAAGATCATCAACATATAAGGACTTATTTAACATGTCAACAGCTTTGCTATATTTCTTTTCATAACCCTTTTAATATGATGTTTGATAGTGGCGGACAAAATAAACGGACTTGTTGTCATTCCCAAACGGCACTCGGCACATTCGGAAAACCTTAAAGCCTAAACTATTGTCACTATTGTCGTAAGAATGATCAAACCACAAGAACCTTAAAAAAATTTCTATCTTCACTATCAATTTGAATTTGGTGAAAAGCCTTCTCTATGTCTGCACAAAATGCAACTTTATGTACGCGAAATTTTAAAATTATATCCAACAGAGTTAGGATTTAAATTAGGGCCTGATATCCAAACATTCATTTAACGATTTAGCTCCTTCAGACCTAGAAGTGAGGCATCATAAACTATTCTTATTCTTGTTGTTACTTTTCCTTCACGTATAACGGGCCTTATGAGGCATATAATAACAGTTAGGTTCATTTTCAACAAACTTACATTGTTCAACAATCCCCCTTTCAACTTGTTCTCTAATTATATTATCATATTCATTATATAGGAAATCATTTCCCTGTAATTTATGCTTTAGTCCTAGAAATCGTTGTTTAGCAACGAAAAAATTATCAGCGAGTTGTGATTTATTGTCCTTCCAAAAGAGAGTTTTGTTTCGTATCTTGCCGTTATTAAATTTTAAACTGTCGTTAAAAATGCTTAATAGTATCCAAATCAGTTTCCGAAAACGTTTTATGTTTCATTTTCAATTCCTATCGAATCCAATTTCCAAAATGACTGCAAATCAAATGTGTTTCCTTCAACGGCAGATAAAAACAAAGCATTAATTCGAGTATTATTATTTTTTACTTTACCCATCACTGTGTATCCAAATATGGTCGGGTACTATAAACAAACCATCATTTATCATTGAATTACTTCCTGTTTGTATATACCAGAAATGCTCCGCGCCAAGCAGAATATTTATGTTCTCATTAACGGGACTTGTATCCGAAAGTTCCAAGCCCTTTTAGTCATAAATTCTTTAATGTTTTGACATGTTGATGGCGCCTGGAAGTTTATTGATGATATAATTCTATCCCGATAGCTTCTACAACAAGGCAGCGATCATCGTTTTTATTTTTATTTTTAGACTATATACATCAAATTCTTGCGAGTTACCACGCTGATTTCCAAACGAATAAATAAATGTTAGAAATTCTTTTCTAATGACTTGCAATTCTAAATCGCGCGCTAACTTTGTGGGTGATGAAGTTTCGTTCACTACCTGAATCAATTAATAATCTTACGATTCTCGATTTATTTTTGCTTTGAGCAATAACAGAACATGTCTGTAAAAGCACACTATTTTCAGGTTTTAGAGTGTTACAGTGGGAAGTAGATACTAAAGTTTTATTTTGCGTATCTGCGGAGTTAACATCTTCCATTTCTTTCGATTTCAAACGGCAGAAAAGTTTATTATGATTTTTGTCGTTACAATTTTCGCATGGTTGTATTTTTGAATGACAAAACGCCGACAAATGTTTTAGAAAGCATCTGTAACAGCGACCTTCATGTTTCAATTTCTTTCGTTTTTGTTCGTCGGAAAATTTCAAACATCCGGCAGATGTATGTTCGTTTGATTTGCAGAATATGCAAAACATTTTTATCGATGTGTTAAAAGTAGAAGCTTGTGATTTGACTTTATAATTTTTGAACCCTTGTTTAGGATTAACCCCTGTGTATTTATTACCTTTTGAGCTATTAATCAAAATACTTGCTTCTCGGCATTCAGTTTCTATTTTAATGAACTCTATTAATTCACTTACTTCTATATTTTGGTTAGATGTTCTTTTCCTTTGGAATTCAAGAGCTAAATCTTCAGGTAACAATTTAAGGATTATTGGGTTCAATAACTGTCCGTATGAACCGCTAGTAACATCTAAACTACTTAAATTTCTAACGCAGATTTGTAACTGATCATAGAGCTTTCTTAACTCAAAAACATTTGAAGAACTTTTAACTGGTTCTAACTGTAACAACATCTGCATGAATTTTGATATAATAACATCTTTACGACCAAACCTCTCTTCTAAACTTTTAATACATAGATCATAATTTTCTTCAGATAAAGCATAACCAGAAACACAATTATATGCTGAACCAGATAATAAACTTTTCAAATATGTAAACTTATCTATTTTAGATAAACTTGGATTAGAACTGAATAGCATTATCATACGAATTAAAGAATTCGAAGCCATTTACTGGGATCACCAGCAAATTTTTCAATGTTTAATTTAGGTAACTTTACTGAAGCACTACTTGTAACAACATTATTACCATTCAGAGTACTTACTAATACCATTACTAGTTGTAAGTATACTTTCTTTCAACAACTTCATTACTGTTAATTTTATTTACTTTTCCCAACAATCTTAGCTTTAAACGTTATTAATTTTTTCATCATATCTTCACATACAAGTAGTTCATTATCATATTCTTTTTCATCAATTATTAGAGCACTCGATCATTTGAGTCAAGAGTTTAAAGTTTCTCATGGTATTCAATTAACAATTCATATGATGAATTTAAATCTTCTAGATGTTCTTTACTTAATTCTTCCGATAATAATTTCTCAAGTTTATTTAGAAGTGTAGTAACTTTACTACGTACAATAGCACGTTTCTTTTTCTCTTTTGCTAAATCATCCATTATGTTTCGTTTTCAAAGATTGATACCAAGAACAAATAAATCAAATTTCTTACCTTTCAAAAGGTAATTCCCCTTGTCCCGGGTTTCGGCACCAGAAAAATGTGTGTTGTTCTCTCTTCATGAGTCATAAATTCAAAGATCGTTTCGTTTCAGGAGTCAAGGTTGGGAGAGCATTAGAATTTCAAATCAAAATTTCAAGAGTTCACAGAACATAGAAATAACATTTATTAACGATAAACTTATATTACTTATATTACTTCCGCCTGTAGCGGCCATGAAACATAATCAAGCATCAAATAAATATGACATGCGTCATTCTTCGTGTTCAAGCGTCAAGTGAAATATTTTTCATCGGCGCGCATCAAGAGCGCCACCTATCTACCAAAAAGACGGAACAGCATGTATCACACTATAGCTAAAAAGCTCAAGAGTTTGAAAATTATACATAGCAATTGTTTGTCATTTTTTCTTCCAAGACTGGTATTTTATTAAATTTATTACTATTGTCATATCTATGAACTTCTCATTCTATTCAACTAAAAAGAATTTAAAGCACTGTGACTTTGTACAAGCATACGTCCAGACATAGAATAGAGTTGCAAGCATTGGCAGGCTAATCCATCTCATTAATGTGAGTACCAACATTTATTTCATTTTTAATTAACAAGGTAAAGATTATCTAAACTCCAATATCCTCGATTTTTTAAAAATGAATATAAATTTGCTTCTTTTATTTTATCTGTCTCTCTTGCACTCAATACAAATATAAAATTAAATTAATTTTAGTTAACTATAAAAGTATACTGGTAGTAACAGATGAAAAAAATATTTTTGAAGGGAGGCAAGTGTAATGTGGTTGGCAGAATATTCTAATTCATAAAAATGGTCTGCATTTAAAAAACAATTTGAGGAATACTGTTTTAATGAATATTGAGTAATAACAGACCCATCATTAACATTTATATGTAAATTTTCCTGTAAAAAGATTCTGTTAAAACAGTTCTGGAATGATATAAATCATTTTCAAAAAACTATTTCCTGCACAATACTATAAAATAAACTGTATTGCATATAAATGTAAAATTTATGTCGCATATTTTTTGGGGGGTTGAAGATACATATCTTGCAAATTAATTAAAAATCTTAAAAATATATTTACTGAAATTAAAATGCTTTGGTAGTCACAAATGAAGTGTATTTTTTATTCTTCATAGAAGGGAATGTTATATTGCCCGTTTTGATGCTTATTATGGTTTAAAAAATAATGGTCAAATTTAGAGCAGATCTCCATGGGGAGAGTTCACTGTATATTGAACATAATAAATTTGCTGTTAGGCAATCATCTCCACGGAAGACCAAATCATCTGGAGTCGTGGATGGTTGATTTTCTTAGGAAAACTTCATTGTATTTATAAAATGCTTTACTCTAAATTATTTTCTTTGTAGACCCAACCAGTCACTCCCAGGTCTCTTGAAACTTTAATTCGTCTCTCAACTGCTCATGCTAAAGCCCGCATGTCAAACACAGTAAGTCTTAAAGATGCTCAAGCAGCTATTGATTTAGTACAATTTGCATACTTCAAGAAGGTTATGGAAAAGGAAAAGAAAAGAAGACGTCATGAAGATAGTTCAAGTGAAGAAGATGATTATGATGACAGTCACAAAAAGAAGTAATATATATTCTAATCATAATTTTTCTATTCGAGAAAATCTTGCTTATGATATTTAACTGGATAACTGTGCTGTGATTAAAAATGCCTATATAATATTGTCATTTGGCTTCTAAAAGAGATGTGCTGTGCAAATTCATGTAAAGGAAACCGAAGAACTAGTTAAAAAACAGGGTTAATTTCCAAAAGTTTAAATAAAATTTATTTTTTAACTAAAAGAAATATATTAAAACAATAATTAATCAAAAGTGTCAGAAATTAATATGATGTGATTTATTCTTCACTGCCTCTGATAAATTAAATTTTCTTTTAATCAAATATTTTCAGCACCTGAGCTTTTTTCTTCAGGAACATCTATGCTCTATGTTTTTGCTAAAATAAAAAGGCTGTTATTTATATATTGCTTGAGATTAGCTGGGAGATCTGTGTAAATTTTGTTTTAGAACTTGCACAGCTTTTTCTTAAATTGTGTGATTATTTTAGTGGACAGATTTTCCATACTTGCACATTATCTCATTGACTGTCAAACTGTTGCCAAGTTGTTAATTATATTTTTATATTTATTACTTTTGGAATATTTGATCAAACTGGTTATTTAAAGTATTAATCTCAAAAAATTAATTCATATTGATGTATATTAACTTACATATTCAGTGTGACAAATTTTTTAAAAGAAAGCATATGATGCTTATTCAAAAGTAAAGCAGAGGATATCTGCGCTAACTTTCGCTATCTCTGCAATTCCAAGTAAACACAAAGGGAACATTTTATTATGCTAATATTTATTAATCATGCGTGTTGATTTGTTGAAGCATCTTATGTTTTACACAGTTAAATTATTACATAATTAATAATTATGTGTATTTTATTTAGGAAAATTGCAGCAAAACCTGATAAACCTAAACCCAAACCAGGAGAAGAAGGTTATGATCCCTATGATTTTGATGATGAAGGTAGCAATGCTGTATTCATTTTCTGTCTGTTTTTTCCCACAATTATTTTACTTCATTTTTGCTGCATCTGAAGAACTGAGTTTAAAAAAAACTACTGGAGTTGTATTTATTTGAATTTTAAAAAGGAAACTGAGTTTGAAATATGCTAAAAATGTATTAAAACATTTGAAAAACTATTTTTAATGCAAATTACTATTGATAAATTTAATACAATTTTGATGTACTAATTTCACTGATACATTATAGCAAAATTCTGTGCACATTATAACCAGTTTAGGCACTATGTCTGATTGTAGAGTTTAGCTACAGCTCATTCATTTTATTGAGAAATTATGAAAAATCTTGCTAATAATAATTTTGTTTTGTTAATATTACCAGAATTAATGATAACCTTAGTGTTGAATGTCTTTATACTCACATTTGAAATTAAAATAATTTTCAGTTAACAAATCTAATTTTTATTTGATTATCAATGAATTTCAAAAATACCCTTGATGCAGCTAATCTTGAAATATGAATTTCCACTAATCTGTTTAGAAAAATGCCCTATACAGAATGCTGCATTCTGTTTTGCAGAATTTGTTCTGTAAGGGAAAAAATGACATAATGAATAAATATTTAATTGACATATGCAAAAAAAAATGTAATTTACTTATGCTAAGAAATCTCTGATTGCTTCAAATGCCTCAGCTTTAATATTTTAGTATCATGTAATCTTCCAAAATTAGATATGGTATTATTACATGCTGATTCTACTATTTACACCCTACCTGGCATTTAATTGACTTTTTCCTTGATCATTTATTTTCGGAAAATGTTATCCAAAAATTCAGCGGTACGGACTGTCCCCTGAAACCAAAACGTTTAAGTATAAATAAAAATTTGAGCTGCGGAAAACAGAAGCTTGTTAGTTCAGATTTAATGACAGTTGGGTGAAGATAATTTTAGAGCGTCCTGTTTATTTTAACTTGAAACTCCTTTCATAGCTTCCCATTTACAAACACACACAAAAAAAAAGTTTTTAAGCCTGTATATTTTACAAATGAAAATTAAATTTTATGTTTGCTATGAAATTAATATTTTTAACTACCACATTTCTGATACATTGATGCTTATTGTAATCTGGCTATCATTATCAACATACTTAAGCAGTTAAAGCTAAATTTTGCTGTAGTTTGTTACTCTTCTAAATAAGCCCTTTAGGGTAATTTTCTCTTACCCGGAGGCCTATTACATAATCACTGATCTCATCCACTATAGCGCAAACAGTATTGACTCAAAAAAAAAAAAAAAAAAAACTGGTATCATCTAAGTTCTCCAACTTTACAGATAAAACCATTCTGTTGTCCTTAGTTGATGCGCAGTTGGGTTCATTTGACTTCTCTTGCAAGGGGACAAGTCTTCAGGGGACCAATCATATTACAGACAAGTGGCATGGAGCAGCCAAAATTCGAGGAATAGTTTTCTCCAATCGTTTTACTGTGAACAGGTCAATGGTGCAGCTAGAGTTTTGCCACCCGGGGCAGTCCTTGAATTTACCATCCTCATGATATACAAAGAAATAATCTAAAAAATGTTACAGTGATAGTAATATATACATAAAAGAAAGAAAGATTTCTTAAATGCATAAGCATTTCTAGTTCTTTAATCCAAAATAAGCATTTATTTTTCTAAAACTCTTTCTAAATGATTTTTATTTAGATAAACTCTTCTCACAGCCAGCAGAGAAAAGGCATACAGTAGCAGTGAAAAAAGCTTATGATAGTATTACAATTTTTGGAAATTTATTCTGGAGATTTGAATTTTTGCAGTTTATTCTAAAATACTGCCCTTCCATGTAACATGAGAAACTACTCTGCTAGCAGACTGATTAGCAGACAAAATTCATTTGCCAGAGACCAGTGGTCTTCAAACAGTGTTCTGCAGAACGTTGAGGTCTCACAAGTCAAAATACAAATTCAAAAAGAAAATCATAAAGCACTTACTTTAGTTGACTAGTGTTTATTAACTAAGAAGTATAAAGATACATTTAGTTATAGATTAGGTTTCAAACTTAAGATGTGGTCATCATATGCTAAAAAGAATGATGTGTAATACTTTGCAAAATAAACAGTTTTGTAATGCAAATAAATTACAATTAGATATCAGTATTAAAAATTATATAATACTGATATCTGAATTGAGTACCTTTTTCAGTTGAAGAAAATTATAAGTGAAAATTTTTCATAAAAAAAAAAAAACTAAGTATGACCTTTTTTTTTTTTTTTTTTTTTTTTTTTTTAAATCATTCCAGCACTACGATAAATCAGAAGGTTTGCCAATGAAGGTTAGGGAATAAATTATCAACAGATTCGATGTTAAAATCTAAATTTAAGCTAAAGCAGCTACTCAATTTTTGGTTGCAGATTCATGCTGAATACCTAGAAGTTTCTCACGCAGCTATAAGCATTTTAAAGCCATTTGGAACAACATATTTAAAACCAAAATCTTTCTCAATACATGTAACAACAAAACCAGAATACAGAAGCAAATACAGCAGCTGCAGATTACATCAATAAAGCCAGACTTCGACAGTTTATGTAAAAAAAATGCAAGCACACCACAGCCACTAAGTATAATTCAAGGGTAAGTGACACCTAGAGCATGAGGTTATGCTATTAATGAATAAATTGCATTAATTTTTAATAAAGAATACAATACTATCATTTAATTATCTTTACATAAAGTATCTTTAACATACTGATCTACATTAACTATTGATTTTAAGATATACTTTTCTAAGAGTGGAATGGAGTTGCTAGAGAAAACCTTATATGTTAAGACCACTGTCCACAGCATGTCACTTAAAATGCAGCCACAACTTAACTTGTACAGTCCTATGTAATGTTCACCCAATAGCAATGGATTTTATGCTCATTTGTTAAACACGTGCTGCTGTGTTCTTACTTATTTATATATACCTATTTTTAATCATTCACATGAATAAACTGCACTCCTGATTTTCATCTGCTTATTTGTTAAAAAAATATCCAACTTAGACATCACATAATATGACATCATTCAGAATGTTTAACGTATGTTAATTTAGAAGATTTTTTTTTTTTCTGAGAAATTATTCATCAAGTAATAAAAATCATTCATTAAGAAGGAGGACTCTTATTTTTGTGATAGTGTGTCTAATTTTAAAATTATAATTTGAATATTTTATTTATACATTATTTTTATGAAAATAGGACCTGAATCTGGTTCTACACGAGCTGGAACACAACCTGGTACATCTGGAGAGCATAGTCAATCAGAAAGTCAGATCCCTGAAGAAAGGTAAGTTTTACTGAAATATCAAAAGCTGTTAAAAACTTGTTCTTATAGTAGTCAGTGGAATTCTAAAGATTTAATTATTCGAAAATTTAGTCAGATGCAAAAATGAATACATTCTTATTAAAAAGTACCCATTTCGATAGTTACAAAACTACGAGGAAATCTCCTTTTGTAAAGCCTTGACATCTGAAACTTAATTGCCTGGTGATGTTAAAACTAGTATTCATTAAAGGTCAGTAGGCAATCAAAATAACCAAAGCTATTGCAGGATAATTTACCAGCATCTGTTTACAACTTATAACTTGGAAGCCAGAGAATCTTTCATTAAGGTAATTGTCTGAAATGTCTTGACAAAATTTTGAAGGAACGTCGCTTAGTATTTAAACAGCTACAGTCCCTTCCTCATTTGCCAGGTTTAATGCTATAGAACACCAGTAGAATGTCTTAAAAGGAAGATGCTGGATTCCTGAATACAGTCAAACTCATGTCATCATAACTAAAACTTTTGATTACATCCAATTTCCTATAAACTTGATGTTAATTTATACTGCTGTAGCAAACTTCAAAGGTATAAAATTATATATTATTATATATTAATTATATCTTCATTTGAAACTTATGGGTTCATAATCCAGTTCATGTAAAATGTGATCTTAAACCACTAGTTGTGTTTCATTATCCAATTAACAAAAGTGTAAGACCTTTGGTGTGCCATTTCACTGTGTTGTCTCAGCAATATTGAAAATTAGGTAACTTATGCAAGTGTTATTTGCTTTGTATTTTATTGAGAATTTTTGCAACATTTAATGAAAAAAATACTGATACTTAAAATAATCCATATTTAGGCTGTTAGGATCCACATTCCATCCATAAAGAAAAACACCTACAGTGCTTTTCTTTTATGTTCAACCCCACTTTTCTCTGTGTTCTGAGCAAAGATTATGCGAAACAGGTATGACAATTAGTCTAAAAGAACAAGAACATAATAAGCAAATTATAGTACACCACATAGAATTCTTTGTGAAGGGTATATGTGACTGTTAAGCTGCAGAATGTAAGTTATCTCTCTATTTCCATTCAATCTTTAATTGGGCTGTCAAACAAGCTGAAGCTTTGATGAAAGTTTTGAAATTTTCACTATTCATGGAAAAAGGAAGTAATGAATCTGATGAGTTTAGTCATACAGTTGAATCATATTTAAGGGAATAAAATTGTTTAACCCTTATTTATTTACTTATTTAGCCTGAAACAGACGTTAATCTCAAATGAAATATTTTTCTTGAAACAGCATTTTGCGTTGAGTAACTTAAATATGTTGTATCACTTTTCGAATTGTTGTCACCAAATATTATCACCTGGTATTATATTTAAAGAAATTAAATAATGAAGAATCTGCATGACTGTATGTTTCTTGCATTGTGAAAAAACAGTAGTATCTAGAGTTATCCAATTTTGCATAACATAGTCCTCCACCCGAACATAGGCACCTGGAATCCCAAATTCGGAATCTGTCTTATTGTCTATTTCATATTTTGTGAAACTTTAACTAATTTTTGACTAAAAACTCAAGAATTTCAAAATAATTTTGGGCAACACTGTAGGGAATAAAATATTTTTATCTCCAGTGCATGAGACTGTCTTATCAGAAATTCTAAAGTTATGCTGTTTTTAAATATTTTGTGATTTTGGTCTTGAATCAAATTTTATGTGGCGTAAGTGGCAAAGAACATGATATATAATAAATAAAGTCAACACACAAAATGTTGATTAAAAAAAGACAAAAAAAAAGTTTTGTAAAGCCATCTTTAGTAAGAAAGGACTGAAAAAAAAATTTTTTTTCGGAACTTCAGCAAGTTTGGATTTGGGATTTTTCTGAATTTTTTATCATCAGTTTATATCTGGTAAGATAATATGTATCAATTATGAAATAAAGATGCATGTATGACCTCAAAAGAGAATCAAAATTTATTTAAAAACTCGATATTTATTTGTTTGCTTTATTAAACATTTCTTTCAATGTAAGTTGCTTTGTTTTTTTATATATATATAATACTTTCTCTTTTAATTTTATAGACATATTTTTTTACTCAGAAATTAAGTTCCATTGTTCAAGTCCTGTAATTGTCATGTCAAGAATTCCCACTAAACTGTCAATCGAAATGTTTGCTGTTAACAACCTCTTTGTCACTTTCTTCATTATTGGTAGTGATCTTTCTAGGGTTTAGAACTGCACTACAGATTTCGCTATCCATTAGTTGATTGATGATTGGGGCATTGTTATTGCAATGAAAAACTTTTGTTACAATACAAAGTCTGAAATCCATCCATTATCCGGAATGAACTAAAATCCGGCCTCAAAACTGTTTTTCTCGTAGGCTTTACACATACGCATTCAATTACCCCTCTGCACATAATTAAACATCTGGAGAGTCCTGATTCGCTATTTCACATCGACACTAAATAAAATACCTTGTTATTAAAGAAACAATCATTTTAGCATAAATTTGTACGATCAGTAATTTGGCTCCATTGCTGCATATCTGCTTTGGCACACATCTCAAACCGAAACATTCCATATAGATACATTGTTGATCTGACGACAACCTTGCAAATCATTATTTATAATACTTTCTTTTCAACACCGGCCCGCCAACGGCCGAGCGTTAAAGTCGCTGAACACTGGTAATTTGGTCCTAGGTTTGAATCCTGCAAACGGGCTGGCTGCATGGGTTTTTTTCGTAGTTTTCCCCATATGTAACGTGTATACTAGCCAGTTTCCCTTAGAAAGTCCTCCACGAAGGCATCCCTCCCCTTAGGCAGATAGCACTCAAGGCTTTGCCGTAATTGAATAACATAACCTTTCAACACAACATGTTTATCAAAACATGATAACTTGAGTAATGATTCATGTAGCGATGCTTAACCGCGGCTGCTGACACCAGACTTGCCCTCCAATTGATCCTCGTTAAAGGATTTAGAGTGTACTCATTCCAATTACGGGGTCTCAAAAGAGTCCCGTATTGTTATTTTTCGTCACTACCTCCCCGTTCTGGGAGTGGGTAATTTGCGCGCCTGCTGCCTTCCTTGGATGTGGTAGCCGTTTCTCAGGCTCCCTCTCCGGAATCGAACCCTGATTCCCCGTCACCCGTTACGACCATGGTAGGCGCGTAACCTACCATCGACAGTTGATAAGGCAGACACTTGAAAGATACGTCGCCGGGACGAGCCCGTGCGATCAGCCCAAAGTTACACAGAGTCACCACATGATACGGACACAAGGTCCGATTGGTTTTGGTCTAATAAAAGCGCTCGTCCCCAGAGGGTCGGAGCTCTGCTGCATGTATTAGCTCTAGAATTGCCACAGTTATCCAAGTAGTAAGGTACGATCCAAGGAACCATAACTGATTTAATGAGCCATAAACAATTTTTTTATTAATTAATAAAGGGGTATGGTAACCTTTTATGTTGACATTACACTTGGCAATAATTACGGATTTAAGTTAATCCCGCTAAAAAAAATGTTGACAAGGAAACCTTTATTTATTTATTTTTTTTTTTTTTGGCATATGCTAAAAATAGATTTTTTTTAATTATACTCATAGCCCAAAAAACTACATTTAGTGTTATTTCAATTAAGAATAACTGATTTAATACTTACATAAACCCAGAACCAGCACTAGGGCTCATATGGCTGCACTGCGCAGCAGAATTTAGGACCGACAGAGTCAGCATTTTGCGGTAAGATATCTAGTGCTGGCCCTCAATAAGGCTTAAGTATATGTGGGAATTTATTTATTCATAATTCTCATAGGCCTTAAGTATGTGCAAGAAATAGACATAAGAATAATAAATAACTAATGCAATTCAGGCTTAATTAATAGAAGCAAGATAAAATTTAACGGAACAACTTATCGTTAGTCGCCAAGCTCATGATGCATAGCCAAATATGTATAGTGAAGGATAGTAGTTAAATTTGATGATGATAGCTGCAAATTTTAAAGGTTTTTGGATATTGCAAAACAAAGGTGAAATTTTCCAATTAATGGATTCTGTAAAGAAATGTTGACAAGCAATAATAAATAAAGATGATATAAAAGAAGTTTTTCATTGTGATGACAATGCTACTCAATCATCCATCAATCAATGAATGGCAAAATCTGTAGTATGGTTCTAGATTCAGAAATTATCGCTACCATTAGTGAAGAAAGCGACAGAGAAGTTACCGAAAACAAGAAAATTTCGATTGACCAGTTAGTCGGTATTCTGGAAAGAGTAGTTACAGGACTTCAACAATGTAACTGGACAAGAGATTATGTCTGTCTACAGAATTAAAGAGAAAGTATTAGCACCAAAAAAAAAAAAAAAAAAAATACATTGAAAGAAATGTTTAATGAGGTAAACAAATAAATATTAAGCTTTTTTTTTTTTTTTTAAGATTTTGATATCTTTTAGATCATAAATACTTCATGATTTTATAAGTCACGATTTCATATTTATAATTTTATAATTTCTGCATGTCTTACTAGATTTAAACTGGATCATATTATTAGACTATTAGATTTAAACTGGATCATCTACTAGAATCGTACTAGATTTCCCTATCCAGAATCGCCGAAGTCCCAACGAGTCCGGATTTCGGACTTTGTACTGTATATTATCTTGATTTATTAACATTTCTCCATAAATTCTATTAATTGAGTCTCACTTTTTCTTTGTGATATCTGAAAACCTTCCAATTCATGGCTATCATCAGAAAGCATTTGCGAAGAGTATTCATGATGTATCCTGAGATTGGTGAATAAAGACATGTTGTTCCGCTAAATTTTGTCTTACTTCTATGATATGCTGACAAAGTTAAGCATGAATTATCTTGGTTTAGTTACATCTATTTCCCCACAGAAGCTCATAAATTCCCGCATATACTTAAGACTTATCCAACACTGGTGCTAGACATTTTGTTGCCCAGTGCATTTTCTGCTGGTTTAAAATTCTGCTGCGAAATATTTCTCTAAGTTCTAAAGATTTTGCCATCCCTTAGTTTTATTGCTGAGTACTTCTCTAAATTTTAAAATTTTTGGCTTCCTAAAATTCTGCCACCCAGTGCAGCTATACCAGCTCTAGCAACAGTCATGGCTTATCTGAATAACAGTTCAGTTATTCTCAATTCAGAGAGCATTAAATATAATCTTTGCCTATAACTTTTTTTTTTTCCCATATGGAAAGAAACTTCTATTAAATTTTCCTCGTCAACACAACCAACACTTCACAGCAATGTTAGCTGGAGTCTCTTATCATCAACAAGTGTAATGTCAACATAAAAGGTTACCATGCAGTTTGTTATTCAATTATTACAATTAAAAAAAGGGCGTTTCGACATTGCTGCATGAATCATTTCTCAATCTGCTGTGTGTTGACAGTCTTGCAGTTTAAAATTATAAACAATGATTTGCCAGTATAAATTATTTAGTAGCTGTAAAATCAATGATGTTTTGATGTAGAATGTTTCAGTTTCAGATGTATGCAAAACAAAAAGGAGGCTATGCAGCAAAATTATTGATCATATAGATTTATGCTAATAAATGATTTCTTCAATATGGAGGTATTTTATTTAGTGCTGAATTAAAATTAAGAATCGGATCTCTCCACATGTTTTGTTATGAAAAAATATCAAATGTGCAAGCATAAAACATACAAAAAACACTTTGAAACAAAAAACGTTGCTGGTGATTCAGATCTCTGGATCATTTTGAATATTGGATGTCTGGACTTTAAAATTTGCACTATATTAATTTTCACAATTATTCTGAATCTTTCTGTATTAATTTAATTCAAAAGTGTGAAGGGTATATTGTTCTATTTTAGAGAATGTAAACTTTCGTGCAATGGTTTTCATTAAATCAATTTCACTTTATACTGGCTTGATAGTTTTCCATTTTCATATATAAATAGTCTAGGCATTACACATGCATAAAGAATGTGGCAATTCATTAATCTCTGCAATTTATGAAATAGTATTATTCAGCAGGATTTTTTTTGAATTTTGCAACTGACTACATTTCCTTTTAAAACTTAACATTGTGCATTGGGTAAAAAGATAATAGTGATATTTGTTATCTATGCCAGAAATGACATAGGTTCCCTGGTAGTTCATGATAGTCATTTGCAGTTACATATATATAATTCTGTTTAAAGCTTGTTTTTAGTTAAGATTAATGTATTTTTCAACTTGTCTCTGTTTCAGGTTGAAAGAATTTAGGAGCATTTTGTCCAAGCTTTTTAAAGAGCGGCATGCACAATCTGTACCGATGAATGTTCTGACTGACTTCTTTGTTGAACAGAATCTGAAAGAACCATTTACTCCTGAAGAAATAAATACTGCCCTAGAAAAAATGACTGATGCCAATCAAGTAATGGTGGCAAATGAAATAGTGTTTCTCATATAAAGGGAGAAAAAGTTGTGTAATACCAGTAACATATTATGTGTACATATTTTTAATGATATTTGAAAACTTCTGTATTTTGTACTGAAGCTTTCATTCAAAACTATTTTTTCATCAAAGTTCCAAGTAAAATGTATAGTGTGCTTGCTTTTTAAAAAAATCTGTTATAGATATCACATGACTTCTTTGTACAGCCTATTAAATTATACACATTTCTTTTCCTGCACTTCATTTAAGCTTATTTTCTTGAATTATTCTAACTTAATAAACTGATTCCTCAAGGCAAGTAAAAAAATGACATAAAAATTGCAAGTTTTGAAATTAATTACCCCAGTCAATTTTTGTTGTACCTAAGTCAAATTTTGTATATTCTTAATGTTTCATAATGAGTATAAAACTTCCCAAATAAAATTATGGGAGTTGGGAGACACATTAAGAGTTAGATTTCGTTGTTCTCCAAACAATATTTTTTTTTTAATTTGAACTTGCCAAAACATGAATATTTTTGTCATTTATAACAGCTTTGTAATTGGATGTATTAGACTGCAATCAATGATTGTGAAAATAAAGATTGGGTAAAGACTAAAACCTGGTAAGGGGGTGAGTATATATATAAATTATCGGCTAGGATTAGTAAGAAAAAATGTATTCTTCAATTGAGGAAAACGATTTAAATTATGTTCAAGAGCATATTAATAGGCATTAATTAAGGTACTTGGTAAAAACATAAAAATTCAAATAATTGTAAAAGACTGTTGAAAAAAGAAATTATTGTTATTGAAACTGAGATTAATTGACTTATCAAGAACAAACCTGCGCATTGGTGGTTTTGAGATTCAGTGGTAATCCAAGTTTGTCGGAAGTGTGGTGGTTCAGCAAAACATAATATCACATCTCATATCAATAAAACAAAATCAATAATCACCAATCAATAAAATATAAATTGATTTAATTAAATATAATAATATCTCAATCTCAGAAATCACACATCATCCATCGAGCAACTTCCATCGAGTCTCAGCACACACTCAATGGCGCTCTCAGCGCCCTCTAGCGTTAGGCGGGTCTTACCGTTCTCCCCGCTTAAACTCCCATGGAGTTTACATTTCAATTTCCAGATATTCGAATAAATCACTAAGTCACTAAAATTACACTAAACTAAATATTAAATTGGTAAACTATTAAATATAAAATAAAAGTTTTCAAGTTCATTCGGTCTTTTCAGTCTTTAAATGGTAGAGGAATAATTTTGTTGATGGCTCGCCAAAGAACACCTGTAGAGGTCTTAACTTCAACTACTCTGACCAGACCATCAGCACCAGGATACACTTGTTGGATGCGACCCAATAGCCAATGCAAAGGATTGGGGTTGGAGTCCTTCAGCAGTACTGGTTGACCAATCTGCATGTTTGGCTGCGAACTGCCCCATTTGACACGATTTTTCCATTTGACGTAGTTAATTTAGATACTCGGAATGCCACCGCTTCCAAAATTAATTTGGAGTCTCTGAAATAGTTCCCACCTGGAATGAAAAGAAAAAGAGAATCCGAAGCAGTATGTGGTTCAGGAAAGGACAACATAGCAGGCTGTAAGTCATTCGGATCGGAAGAAAGCGGTGATAATGGGCGGGAATTCAGAACTGCTTTTATCTGAGTAACTAAAGTAGTTAACTCTTCAAAGTTCATGATAGCTGATTTTGCTACCCTTAACAAAATCCGTTTCACTGATTTTATGTTTGCTTCCCACAGTCCACCAAAGTGAGGAGAAGCTGGTGGGATAAATTTCCATTGGATGCCTTCTTCTGCACTAAATCCTTGAATTGGGTTAGATTTTCAAATATCATTATATGCGTTAAGAATATTTCTCGCACCTTTGAAATTTGTGGTGTTATCGCTCCAGATAACGGCTGGTTTGGATCTTCTGGCAATAAATTGTCGTAAACAGCTAGAAAAGCTTCTGTTGTTAACTCAGAAACGACTTCTAAATGCATTGCTTTAGTGCAAAAACAAATAACTAATGCAATATAAGACTTTAAAGTCACCTTTCACCTTTTCAAATTAGGTTTCGTGATTATAGGTCCTGCGAAATTTAATCCGACCTTCTCGAAAGGTCTAGAAGGCACGACTCTGTCCTACCCATCATCTGGCTTACCGTTTGATTCTTTGTTCTAAAGCAAGTCATGCACTTATTTATTACTCTTCTAATTCGATCTTGACCAGACGGTATCTAATATGACTGTCTTATTAAAGATAATGTAGTCTGTACGCCGGAATGTAAGGATTTTCTATGATAATATTCAATAACGAAATTAGTGAAATGATGAGCCTTTGGCAAGAGTATCTGATGTTTCTGAAATTCAGAAAACTCAGAATACTCCAGTCTTCCTCCTACTCTGTGTATACGAGCCAGTTTCCCTTTGAAAGTCCTCCACAAAGGCATCCCTCCCCCTTAGGCAGATAGCCCTAGTGAGCTTTGCCATAATTAAATACACACACACACTTCCTCCTACTCTCAGTACCTCATTTTTGTCAAGAAATACGTTCAGAGATGATATTTTACTATTTTGTGGAATAGATTGTCCGTTTTTCAAGCACTTTATTTCCCTTTGAAATTCAGTTGACTGTATGAGTTTTACTAACCTTCAGTAGCATATCTTAACTCAGAAACTTATATGAAGTCTGTTCTCAACTCTGGGTTTGCTTTACAGTTATTTATAAATCTCAAACATACGAGTTGCATCGCCGAATTCAGGGGTGCACTACCCGTGCAAAATCGGTGAAGGAACTTCTATGTCTTCTCCAAGCTGAGTGGAAGAAAATACCACTAGCTGTCATACAAAGACTTGTGGAAAGTATGGCCCGGAGGGTCCACGCTGTAATTACCTCTCGTGGAGGCTCTACCAATTATTGATTTTGAATAAAGTTAGTTTTTCTTTTCTATCACAGGTGTCCAAATACTTATTGGTAGTCAGTGTATAAATAAGGCTTGTATGGTCCTTAAAAGTACTTAAAATAGGTTTTTTAGAAATGATTTTTGGTCCTTAAAAGTCCTTAATTTTACTCATTTGACATTTTTGTCTGCTTTTTATGACTGCCACTTTGAGTGTGAATTAACATTTTGGAGGAATATTTTTCGATTCATTGACAAATATGTATTTGACGAGTTATCACTTGAATTCTTTACTGCTTCGTAATATAGCACGAGGCCCTGCCTCAATTGAAATATTAACATTTTGAAATTATTTCCTTTTTGAGAATGTACGTAATATATTACATCAGAAATTTCCATTCCTTTATTGAGATATGATTTCTTTTATTATGTGGCTCTAAATTTGGTGATTTCGAGAGCAATCTGTATTCAAAATTTTTTAACTGGATATTTGCCATTTCTTTGGTGTTTTTCTTTTTCTTAGAAACATAATAGCATTTATAAATATTTTTAAAATAGTGATGGTATATTAAAACTGTAACTAACAAATAGCATTAAAACAAAAAGTCTTGAATTGTTTTTAATAGCTTCAGTCTCATGATTCTTCGAAGCATGTATTGCTGCGTGAACGAGATTTTTTTATCCTGAAAAGGAAGGTAGTTTAAAAAAAATCCTTAAATGGAAATATATATAAGGTAGCTTTCAGAATTTCTTGAATTTTGAATCAAGAAGAGCAAATTTCTTCTTATTTTATGAATATAACAGTAATAATATATTTCATTAACTATTCTTATCTTATTAAATACACTAGTTTGAAGTGTCCTGAAGCAATGAAATGGTTTTCTGTGATATTCTATTGATAACCAGAAAAAAAATATTATTTCAAAGAATTTGGTTGGTTACATTTAGCCTGTGTAGAATGCCCAACCTGTTTTGTTTTTGCTTCTATTATAGTAGTGATAGGCAAAAAGTATGTACCCCTCTTTAATAAGATTAGTTTAATCTTTAAATAACATTAGTAATTCGAAAAGAATCAGGAGTTTTGCTCCTGTCTATTTGCAGCTACTTCCTTCAATATTTATACACATAGAGAGTAATGGAGATTTCTCTTTCACGGCAGCCTCTTGAACAAAAGAAATAACATAACAGCTGGTTGTGAAAACCAGAAAATTATTTCCCGCTGAATTTTGGGGATACAGGAGAGCTTTTCGCACGTTTGTTGTGGGTAAATAAAGGCAGAAATTGATAGAGACTTGCAAGAACTAACTTTTCTTCTTTCGCCTAATAAACTTAAAATAGAGCAATTTTACAACTACTGCTCAAAAGCGTCATAGTCTGTAGAACACTCTTTTACAGAAAAAACAAAATCTCGCCAGTTCTCCAATGTCAAACCATGAATGAAAAGCAACAATTGAAGCTTGGTTCTGACAATACTCCCACTTTTTTGATTGATGATATGAATTTAATCAATATAAAAAATACTGTCCTTACAAATATCAAGGCTAAACAGTAAATCAAAAGAAAATAAAATTCTTAAACTTCTATACTTAAGTGACATAAATAGTGCTCACATAAGAAATCTAGATGGGATTTTAATTTGCCGTCACATCCAGTCACATGAGAACCTTAAAGTCCTTTGATAAATCTTGACCTAAATTATTCTTTGTAAATTTTGAAACTAAATTGTCTTCACCCTGCATCTTAGTTTAATTTTTCTCATCTGACTCCAATGATGAAGGTATTTCAAGAAGGAATATTCTCTGGATTTGGTCGAAATAATTCTCCTGACGTGGTGTTTCCCCAAACTGCTCGAATGTTGCTGTCTTTTCCTGGATATAGCTGAATCATTTTTTGGTAGAAGTCACAGCACTTTGTGTTTGTTGTCACACTCTATTTGCAGTTGCAGCTATGTCACCGATTTTTATCTATTGAGAAATTGGCATTGTAGTTGGACATTGCACTAGCAGGCCAAGATATTGAAGAGCTTTTGTAAATTCTGTGGATGTCACAGTCTCTTGCTGAAATCAACTTATAATGTATTTTCTCCCTCCTTTCCGCATGCCTTCGGGGTGTAACTGTTAGCACACTCAACGCATATTTGAGAGGTCCAGGTTCGAGTCCCGGCGAGGGCATTGCTCATTTTTCATGTCTCTTACTTTAAAATAACCTAATAACTCTACAGTGGCACTCGAACTAAAACAGGCATTTACTTGTTTTTTGAAAAAAACAAATGCTTTATTGATCATTGATTACCATGCCAAAAATCAGTATTGGTGTGTGTGGTACTGGTTCGCAACA